TTTGACATGTGTTTGAGTTCCGCGATGGAAGGAAATGTCATTTCACAGAATTGGATTGGGAATCGTTATTTCAACGGAGTCGGTACACAAAGAAATACCAAACGAGCATTTGAATTCTATTTAAAGGCTGCTGAAGCTGGCAATGAGGTGGCTCAGTACAACGTTGGGCTTTGTTATATGAATGGTAACGGGGTTGTCAAGGACGAATATAGCGCTTTCGAGTGGTTCCTAAAGTCAGCAGAAAACGGCGATACAGATGGGCAATACATGGTCGGATGGCTATATAAATGTGGGCAAGGAACGCAAAGAGATGTTGTGAAAGCGATTCATTGGTTGGCCATGGCCCGAGATAATGGGAACGGCGAAGCACGAAAATTCTTAAATAATGTTATTAATCAAATAAATTTCTTTACAAATTATTACGAAAGATATTAATGTTTTTAATTTGATGACGTATCATTCATTATTTATTGTTTATTTTTTCATAGAAGGATAGATTACATAGTTCTCCCGAAGAATGATAATATATATATACATTTTTTCTTTTTTCTTGGCGAGAGACCAGAATCGACAATTCAACAAAAAAAACATTCGGATGAAATGTAGGGATGATAAGTGAAATAAATGACCAAATTTGTAAGATAGAATTATACATTCGTGTTTTTTTATGTATATTGCAAGATAATGAAATAAAAGTGAGCCTCTAATTTTTGCCTAGGAAAAGGACATATATGAAATATGATAAATTGAAGATATTTATTTTATAAAACTGAGTCTTTTGGATTTCCCGGAAGTTCCTTGCCAACTTTTGAGATAGCTCCTTTCGTTACTGAGCCATTTTGTGAAGGTAATTGCTTGCTTCAGGTATTGCTCTTCACGAAATACCAGAGAATGCTCTAAAAGGTATTTCATTGCTTCGAAGTTTTTACTTTTCACTGCAAACGCGAGTGCGTTCAGTCCCTCATTATTTGTTTTTTCTAAATTAATGTCGCATTTCAGTACAACGCTCAAGAATGAAACCGGTGCATATTTAATATAATAGAATAAAACATTTGGACAATGTGGGCTGAGAAAACTGTTGGGATTCATCCCATGAGTCAAAAGACATTTTGTGGCATCTATGTACCTGTTATTTGCGGCAAATACAAGCGCATCGAATCCTTCGCCATTCTTTGCTTGTAAATTGACATCATTGCTTATAATGAGTTCTAGAAATGAAATTGATGCACGTTCGCGAATGTAATAGAATAAAATGTTTGGGCAATAGAAGTTGATCGGGGTGTTGGGATCAAATCCGTGTTCTAAAAGACATTTCACCGCTTGCATCTTTCCCTTTGTTGCAGCGAACGCAAGCGCATCGTGTCCGTCCTTGTTCTTTGTTTCATAGTTGATGTCATATTTCAAAATAAGTTCTAAGAATGATACGGGAAAATCCTCTACGATGAAGTAAAATAAAATGTTTGGAAAAAGCGAATAGGGTTTATTAAGTTGAAGCCCTTGTTCCAAAGACATTAAAAGCAATTCATAAATATAGGTTTCCGGAAATTCATGTCGAAGGCCTATTATCCAACATGCCGGATGTGTGTAAGAGGCATTATTGTTGTAATAATGCTCTTCATTAATGTCATAGCCATTTTGAAATAACCAGGATAAAATCTTTATTATTACCCCTGTATCCTGCGTGAAGTTTTCATTGCAGAATGCTAATGTTTCCATCTTAATGTGAGCTCTTTTAAGGTTCATCCCATATGATTTTATTACTTCAAGGGCCTGGATTATTTTCGCGGGTTCCAAGAATCTTAAAGCATACTCCACCAATTTTTCCTCATTAATACTTGATCCGTTTTTCAAATGCCATTCCAATCCTTCCAAATCTCCAACAATGATATGAGAATGTGCATCGCAAGGTTCATTCTTAGATCTGGTCTTTTTTAATGTTTTAAGTGTTTCTTTACACGTTCTCCCCAATTTCTCTGACTTTATATTTGTAGATGAATTTGAATTAGAGCCTGAGCTCAGGTCGGTGTCCAGACGTTCTGTTAATAAATTCAGAAGTGCTCATTTTTTAATAGACAAGACTTAATATACGAATAACACTCTATTCCCACTAATAGAACCGAATAAACATACGTACCGGTAAACGGACCCAATTCGTTGACATCAGTTTGACCTTCATTTTTTTCGGCAGTGTGCACAGGTTGTAATTTAATATTTTCGAGCGAATCCATGAGACATTCAATTGTCGGACGTTTTTTTGGATCATGATGCCACGCGTCAGAATAAATTTTCACATAGTCCAACGGGGTACCGTCAATCGGCTTCTCCCTTTTCCCTACAATAATACCTATAAGTTCGATCTGAGTATTTGGAACTTTCCCACTTGATATTTCCCAGAAGAGAAGACCCAGGCTGTAGATATCTGAAGACTTGTCTCGTTTGTAAGAAGGATTATTCAAGAATTGTGGGTCACAATAAACACGTGGTGTGCATCCAGTAACTGATACCATGGTATCTCGGGACTTGGATAAGCCGAAGTCTGTAATCATTAGTCGATTGTCGTGGATCAATACATTCTTTGAATGCTGCAGTACAATGATATGTCTTTTTTAACACGTAACTCTGTAAAGATCTAAAACTAACTGCCCTTCATACGATGATGATCAATCACCTACCAAATCTCGATGAACAATGCCCTTGGAATGTATACAATACAATCCATTAGCAATATCTTTGACCATCTCTATCTTTCTTGACCACCCAAGATCCGAAAATTTTCCTTGTTCGTGTAAATTGTGAAGATAGTCCCTGAGATTTCCTCCATTGGCATACTGAAACACGAAATAATAAGTGTCCATTCTTGGATCTAAACATTTACAAGTTGAACCATTTTTTTTTTAAAAAAGGATAACTTCAATTTTTATCTTGACATCGAAAAGCACCGTTACCTTGAGTTATTCCCAAAAATCTTACAATGTTATCACTGTAATCGACAGCTCTAACATTTTTTATCTATTTGGTTGGATCAAACGTGTGATGTAATTAAATTGGTTACTAAAAATTAATTTAATTCGCACAAAAAAAAAAACGATAATACGTAATCAATTAATGTAATGTCGAATGTTTACCTCGCTCACAAATAATTTATAAAAATATCGTTCATACTTGACATCGTCGTGTAGGCTTTTCAGGACCACGGTTTTTCTCGCATCTTTTAAATATGCTTTTTCAACCTTGCCAAAACCCCCTCTTGCAATAAATTCGAAATTACTAAATGAGCTATAGTTAAATGATATGATTGTGGTATTTTCGATCGCACTCGTGAGCCATTCTCTATATTCATCATCCTCATTTAATAATGACATCTTATTTATGGTATATTTTAATTATCAGAAATTCGCCACTTCATTATTTTGGCATTTTTTAAAGGCGACCGAAATGTCGTGCAACCTATTTCTTGATAAACAACTCCGATTGTCCGCAGTATTACTAGTACACCAGTTTCCAAATTCCCATTGTGTAAGCCATGGCGCTGTCCAGTTATAGTTATACAAGACTACGGTGTTATACTGTATGTAAAATTCAATAGTCGAGGCGACATCTACTATACTGGCTGATTATTAATATACAAAAGGAAAGAATATACTCATTTCCAAAAGTGCATATACTGTATATATAAAACTAGTCTGCTTGGTGTTCCGCTGTACGCGTCCCGCCACCTTAGTTCACACAGTCGTGACCAGAAATCCTGTCGCTAACCCAGGATAATTCGTGCGTCACGTACATTTATATTTACAGTATATGCTAACTTTTGTAATTTTCCATACATTATGACGCGTGTCTGCTCTTCACATACTGTATATAACGATATAAATGATGGTATTAACTAAAGTTTTAACAAAGACCAAGTACACGGGATTCAAAGAATATTCGTTTTTTTTTTAATTATAGTAGTTTATTGTTCTTTAATTGTCTATTTTCTAATGCTTTTTATTGAATTCAAGCTTAACAATGCAGAGTTTAGGTTGCAATGTTGGGATACAGAAAAATGCTGATGGATTGCTGACATGTGTTTTGTTTGGCATGTTTGTTTGAAAACTTTTTTTGGTGTTTAGAATATAGCTTTCGATTTCTGTTTGCCATCCTTTGATTGCTATGGTGTCTGGTGTGTTTGGAATTGGTGATAGTTGGAGGTTGTATTGTTTGTTGATTTTGTTGATTAATTTTTCTGTTTTGAGTTCAAGCGTAGGGTAGGCAATGTAGTTTTGATGGTATTGGTGTATGAAGTTTTTGAGCTTGGTTAATCAGTAGAAGAGCTTTGTTTGTGGATTGGATGGTTTTGGTTTATATTGTTGGCTGCTGCTTGGAGAAGTGCTTCTTGTATAAGATTCCATTTGTTGTTTGGTGAGTTTTGATGGTCTGTCGTGGGCCAAGAGGTATGTAGCAGCATTTGAAAGTCTTTGTCAAATTTGATCTATGCTTCAAGAGAGGTATCACTCCATCTGTATCTGTTGTTGGGTCATTTAGTATGGGTTGTTTCCTGTATATTTCAATTTGCCATGTTTGTATGAGGCAGTGGGTTGTATGGTGGTCTGTTTCCATGATGTCTTTGTTTGTATATTGGATGTAGACTTCTGTTAGTAATCAGGAGAAAGATGTTAACATCCATATTTGGTCGATTCGGCTGTGGCTGTTATTGGAATTTGACCATGTGGTTTGAGTACTGTAGGGGTTAATATTTCTATAGGTATCAATAAATTGTTGAGATGTGAGCCAATGTATTAGCTTTCCTATTGGCATATATTTCTTGTTACTGGAAAGCTTTGTATTAGGTATGTCTAGACTAGGATTGGTTATTATATTGAAATCTTCTAGGATAATTGTATAGGCTTGATTGATTTGTACTGTATGGATTTGTATTATAACTTCAGTGATATATTCATCTTGGAAAATTCCCAGGGTTGCTAATATGTAGGCTGCAATAATATGTAGTTTACATTTGTATTTAAATAGAAGGTCTGTTGTTATGATTCTGTCTTATCAAATTTGTTTTATATATATATATTAGGTAAAGTAGTTTTTGATAAATAATACAACTCCAAATCCTCTAATTTGTAAGCTTGTTCCACTCCAGATTGCTTGGTGATTATTGCACTTCCAGTGTTATCCTTTTTGATTAGTTAAATTTGTTTCTGTAAGTACAATACTGTTTATATTGTTATATTTTATTCATTTTTGCCAAAGAGAAATTTTACTTGGATTGGATTTGAATTCTCTTACATTAGTGGTAGTTATATGTCAAGATAGAATTGAATTGTTTTGATTATGTTATATTTGAAGAAATTCTGTTAATATAATGTATTGCATAATCATAAAGAATATATTTATTAGATAGTATGGTTGAGATCTTGTGATAATTTTTCTGGTTGTAATTATAATTATATATTATTGCTTTCTCAAGATCGATTGAAGAATATTGAAATTAGTTGGAAAGTGTCACTCATTGCTGCAATTCTTGAATATAATTGTTGTTGTTCTTCTTGCAGATTTTGAACTGGACTTGTTACTGGTCTTTTCCTGTGGTAGTTGGAAAATATATCTTCTGCTATTGTGATTTGAGGTTCAAATATTGTGTTATGGTTTATTTTATATTCGATAAACTCTACATCTTGTTTATTTTATAAAGTATAAGCCCAGTAGATATCTTTTTCAATATGGCTGAGTCTGTTGTCCATATTAGTGAAGGTGAATTTAATTGCTTTAATTTCTTCTCCAAGTTGATGAATTGCTTAAAAGATTATTACTAGGAAATTTTTTTGATAGAGATCTCCAAAGATCTTCACTCAAAAAAAATTTTAATATAAAAGTTTTTAAAATAATAAACTCTAAAATTTTATTTCAAAAAAATTTAAAAAATCTTCAAAGTAATAATAATTATATTAAAATAAATAATTATTTAATAAATATTCATTACTTTTACCAAATCTTAAAATTATATAAACTAAATTATCTATTGCTCTTATATCTATTAAATTATTTATATTCGTTGATTTAAGGTATACACAATCATACATGTATAGCGATTTTTTCAATTTAAAATCATACCATTGTAATAATACTAATTGAAGTAAAGGTCTTTAAATTATTCCACCTATCTTTATTATTAATAAAATCTAAAAAATTAAATTAGTTTTAAAATAAAATAAAATTAATGATATCTACAAATCAAATAAATGCCCAGGATGCAAGGAAAGGAAAAGCCTAGAACATCTGATGCACAAACACTGGCAACACAAAATAACAGACAAATACAAAAAGATAATAAAAGAAGAAACGGAAGGGTGCCAAAAAAACCAAAATAAAGGAAAGGAGAAAGAAGATTCA